GGGGGGGCGGGGGGGGTGGCCGCTGGAACCTCTGTCAGGTTTTTATAAAGAAATATCCGGCCCTACTTACACACTATGGGGGGAATTTCCTAAGACCGGAGCAGACAGAATCTGGATCAGCTGAGCACAGGAACCAATCACATTCCATCTTCAATGAAAGCGGGAAGCTGATTGGTCCAGATTGTGTCTGCTGCGGTGGTCTTAGTAAATTCCCCTCTATATGTGAATATTCAATTATCCTCTTAGTTATGAATTTAACAGTTTGGGAGGAGCAGGGGAGGACATTGTAAAGGCTCATCCCTCCTGCACCCCCACCCCAGCCCTGCCCTAGGGGCTGGCTCCGTGACACCCCCTAGAGGGCTGACAAAAAGAGGCAGCTCGAGGAGACTCTTGTTTGTAACATCAAGGAAAGGAATTCCAGCAACATCAATAAGTTTGAAACAGCCCAGAAGACTCCCCCTTTAATATCTGGAAATCATCTATGCAAGCCTTGCTTGGAGAAGAGCCACTCAGACCTCTCTTTTGCTTTTTGAACTCTGGACTCTGTCAGAACTCATAGACCCGGGACCGTTCACTATTCTCCTTTTATTCCCTTTTATTTTACTGTTGTTAGATATATTGTCATTTTCTGTATTTTTTTTTTGCACTGTTTCTTTTATTGAAGGACGATCGTTAAAACATCATTAAGCTTATCTCTACGCTCTAAATATGAACTTAAAGTATCCTTGCCTCTGTGAAGAGCGCTACTGCATAGTGACTCCTGTCATATTCCTGTCTGAGAGGACAGAGATGTCATAGGATTTGGAGAGTGCTGTGAATTGTCACAGGTCTTGCTGGGATCGGTGTTAGTATCCAGAGCGCCTCTAGGTGGCGCAGGAGCTGAGACCTGCAGCTCCAGTGCTCACCTGCGGGTGTTTCTCAGCTGCCAGTACTTAGCCATCACCTGGTGCTTCCTGGGAGGATATTTAAACCCTCCCTGCAGTCAGGATGATGGCTCAGTATCGTTTCCTGTTTCCTGAAACTTGAACCCTGAGTCCCCAGTTCCGGAGAATCCTGCTTTCCGTCCAGAGTCCTGTACCTTGTTTGTGTCCCGAGCCCGGTTACCCATTTGCAGACCTGCCTTTACTCTTGTTGCCATTACCTGCTTGTCCTCTTGTTGCCATTACCTGCTTGTCCTCTTGTTGCCATTACCTGCCTTTTCTCCTGTTGCCTTTACCTGCTAGTAGTTACTTATTTATGTTTGCTTTTGGGTGTTGTTTAGTTTGCTGTTGATTAAACTGTATATATAACATTCTGCCCCATCCGGTGTGGTCATAAGTGTTTGGTCTGCCTGTGTGGGTACCTGCGCAGGTGTGGGGTCACCTGTGCCGGTATCCCTGACAATCGGTGTGTACCATTAAAGTATGTGGTGTCAGCGAAAGTTTGGCGTGTAAAGGGTTAGCTGCGGAGTTACCTAACCCTGGTGAAGATCCGCTCTCAGTCCGCTAGCCTGAGATTGTTGTCCCACGAGCTGGGAAATCTCTGCGCAGGGTGATGCTGGGAGTGGTATCGACACATCCTTGTGACGGCTCGCTCGGTCCAGAACTGTGTATAGTCACAAGTGATTGACTTACAGCGGGTTTGGGCCAGGTGTATGTCACACTATATATCTGATATAAGGGGCTTATAAATCAGGTCCTTAGTGTTACTGGAAGATTCACATTTTATTCAGTGATTGGTGGCTCCTCCTTGTGGGCCAATCACCCAGAGCCCAAGAGATACACTATATATGCAAAAAAGACAAGTAACCACAAAGATTGTTGCAGATCTACTAGAGCAGCAGGCAGGAAGAGGATACATTCTTCGTTGGGATATCTTACTACAATTATCGTCATTAACCCCTGCCTGACGGGAGACGTACACTGTACGCCCTGCTGCAAAGTGCCCAAATGACTGGCCAAGTACACTGTACGTGATCAGTTATTTGCTGCTCTGTAATTCTGGTAACTGCTGACAATCAGCGGTTACCATTCATGAATGGATGCCTCAGTTTTGAGGCATTCATTAATTAAATAGTTAAGCTTTTGTAAAAGCTTCTTTCTTTCATTATTGAAAGAATGAAGCCGTTACATACAAATACGGGAGCGCTAAATAGCGATCCGGTATCTGACAGCTAAAGATATCCGAGAGGTAGCAGAGTGAGTCACCTCCCCGCTATTTGTTTTGACCGCTCCATAGACTGGCCCGATATTTACAAATCTGTGTGATATATTTTAGGCACAATGATACAATGTAGACATGTACGATTCGTTTTGTTCCGAATCGAAATTTGGACGAAATTTCGGAAATTTGTGGATTCGGAACATCCGAATTTCCGAAATGTCCGAATTCATCCGAAAGCATTCGAATCCGACATTCTGGATCCGAATTTTCGGATTTGGAATTTCGGATTCAGTATCAATGTTATCCTAATGGAAAAGAAACTAGAAATTTGCAATACTGATTACACAAAAAAATAAATATATATATATACAGTATATATACACTGAGTGGCCGGATTATTATATACACCGAGTGGCCGGATTATTATATACAGCGAGTGGCCGGATTATTATAAAATAGTGATGGTCAAGCGTTAAAAGTGAATGAGGAACAAAATTCCTAGCATGGTGATCAATATACAAATTGGTGAATAAAATCTATTGATTGTCAATATATAAACACGTGTAATAAATGTGTTCAGATTCAGACTTTATGACAAGTAAACTATAAAGTGTGCTAACATCAAGAATTAACAGCGAAAAAAAATGAACCAAACAATTGTAGTCTGCGAAAGACAATTCTGAAAGAATGAATCATAATGTAGCAAGCAAAAAATACTGAGCCGGTTGTAAACTGATACTTAATAAAAGTCCCAACGTGAAGTAACAGATATCAGTGGAAAAGTGACAGTGTTCAATAAACAATCTTATTAGCGGTAAAAAGGAAAAGTTATTTCTGTTCTTTTCCTTTTGATCCAGCAGCCCCCCAAGCATTGGGTACTCACCAGATGCCGTGAGTAAATATAACCCCTCAGAAAGGATATTTCTCTGGTCCACACTCCCCTCACATGGAAGACCTCGCTCTCCGAGACCGGTCATCAGGAGACGTCTTTCTCCCGGACCGCTGAACCGTGCACGGGAGAAGCCGCTACTGGCTCTGAAGGACAGCTGAGAAAAGGCGCGGCGCTGCCGGAGAAAGACGTTGTGACGGACCGCCTGGTACAACGACTGGGTACCTCCATCAGAAAACAGCTTCCTCTCCGATGGAACCCGAATCCCAGTGTCCTCAGCCCAAACCTGCCTAATTATTGGACAGTACCAATATATTAGGACAGAACGCTAAACCACTCAATCATTAGACAACACCGATGTTGAGGTGGAAACCAAGATCTGCTTTATTGAAGACCAGCTCAGTGTATATATACAGCTCTGGGGGTCTAAACACATAACGCAATCAAACATGAACAGCATGCAAACAGACACCCCCTCCCCCGATGCATTAATGAATGAATAGGGAGAGAGGAGACACATGTGATGGGATTATCTCCTGAGTGTATCATAGTGTGATCTACTCATCTACACCCGGAGTCAGCTACTCCTAGAATCAGCTCTCCTAATCCCATCATCAACACAATACAACAAAGGGACCAATAAACTGTAACAGTTCAATGTCCAGAATTATCCCCCTTCAGTGCTCCTTGAGTCACAGCCTGTACCTATAATACACACAGGGCCATCCAAATGTACTGCCAGGGAACATGTACAGTACATCCCTCCACACATAAACCTGGTAGAATGGTTCATTGTAACCCCAAGAGGTCCGAGGGGGGTCTCCATAGTTCTGGGTCCATAGTCAGTAGGCTCCTCCCTCAGGCTCCTCCAACAGCACCAGTGACGGTTCAGTCTGTCACAGACGTCTCCTCATTTATTAGACATGTGCGATTCGTTTCGTTACGAATCGAAATTCGTACGAATTTTCCTGAAATTCCGAATTTCGGAGCATCCGAAATCCGAATGGCAGTTTCACATTTATTCGAACTAAGTGAGACGTTAGGTACACATGTTTGATATAAATGTATAGCCCTATCTGTCCTCTAAAAAACAATATATAACATGTGTGCGCACACTTGGTACACAGTGGATGGGGAAAAAAAATCTGCAAAGTCAGTGGTCAATGGGATGAAAATGCCCAAATATTAGTGGTGAGTGGGAGTGAAAACCTCAATATCAGTGGTCAGTAGACGGAAAACATCCCCCCCAAATCAGGGAAAAGTAGGAGAAAAAAATGACCTGGTGGTTAGAAGAAGGATTAACTTCTCGGCATCAGGAGCTATAGTGAGTCATGTGCTTTTTTAGTATGGGCATACATACAGAGGTGACACACACTTGGACTTGGATATGAAACCAATACTCTGTTGCTGCATGTAGTATAAAAAAGCGGGAGATCTCAATGTTTAAATTGTGTCATTTTTCTGTGCTTACATTGTATCAGTGTGGGAGGAATTATGTTTGGTTACAGGGAGCAGTGGCGTAACAATCGCCATAGCGACCCAGGCGGCCGCTATGGGGCCCGGGGCAAGGGAGTACAGTTGATCGATGTTGTTCATGCTGCTGAATTTCATTTGGGTACGTTAAGGGAAAAATCAGTTCTCCTTGAATCCAGTGTTGGTGGATTTGTGCCCTGCTGGCCTTTCTCCTGAGGCTAGATTCCTATCTGTAAAGGGTTAAGTATTATTGCCCTTTTCTGAGAGGAGGGGGAGTGGATGTTATAAATGCGAGGTGACTCTTTATGGTTTTCTATGGCTCTGATTAAAGTCCGGTTCATGGGCTGAAACACGCCAGCGATTTATTTCTTGCTGTATGATTGCCAACATGGAATAAAGTCTACATATTATTACACGCCTCTTCCTTGAGTGCCGGAACCTTGGAATATGGACATTCGATAAATCCTGATGAGGCAGGTTGACTGTGTGAGCAGCAGTCACCATTAGTGCAGCCTTGACTAAGAACATTGAGACTTAAAGGAGAACTATGGGGTCAGTGTCTTTTCCCCCATAGTTCTCCGAAGGATCACGGGAGAACACAAACTAGCGTCCTCCCGTGACCCAAAGCTCAGTATACTGCGAGCTACAGCTGGCGGTATACTGTGACGCCGGAGCCGAGACAGATCCCAACATTGCTGTTGAGATCCACCTGTCAGGACAGGAGGCCATGAATTATTGTAAATATGTTGTTTATCAGATGGGCTGTGCAGCATCTATGGTGGGCTCTGCAGGGTCACTCTCAGGTGGGTCCTGTGTCCAGCGTGTCACTAAGCCCTGCGTCCAGAGCGTCACCAAGCCCTGCGTCCAGAGCGTCACTAAGCCCTGCGTCCAGAGCGTCACTAAGCCCTGCGTCCAGAGCGTCACTAAGCCCTGCGTCAGAGCGTCACTAAGCCCTGCGTCCAGAGCGTCACTAA